AAACCCTGTCTCGAAAAAACCAAAAAAAAAAAAAAAAAAAAAAAAAAAAAAAAAAAAAAGAATTGATCAAAAGTAGGAGTCTCCTTCCTTCTAAGCCTCTGCCAGCGGGGCTCCTGTGCAGCTCAAGGAGCAGCCTTTAAAAGAGCGTGGAGAGTCCAACATCAGGACTGGGGTGGGGGTAATTAAATGACCTCTTGGGATTACTCCTGGTCCTTTATCCATTTTCCATAGACAGGACTTCAAGGCGGTGTTTCATTTCGGAAAGAAATTTCCAAAAATGTGCAGATTAAAGGCAACCCTACAGGGGGACTTCCTCCAACCCCTCGAGCATCACGATCCACTTTAACTTGTGAGAAAACAGCTCTTTACATTTTCCTGGACTCCAACTTAGTACAGAAGCAGCTTAAAGTGTGCCTAACTGTGTCCTGTCATCCTGGCTCTTCCAGATGCTGAGTGAGACAGGAAGATTACAAACTCATTGTCTACTTAGACTTCAGACTGAGTTCTAGACCACCCTGGGAAACAGAGTGAAACCCTGTCTCAAAATAAAAAGTAAAAGGAAGGCTGGGGTGTGGTTCAGTGGTAAAACACTTGCCTAGAATCCACCATGGAAGGACTAGGGATATGACTCAGTGTTAGAACAGTTGCCTAGAATCTGCCAGTGTCTTAGTTAGGGTTTCTATTGCTGTGAAGAGACACCATGACCACACAACTCTTATAAAGGAAAGCATTTAATTGGGGTGGCTTGCTTACAGTTTCAGAAGTTCAGTCCATTATCATCATGGTGAGGAGCATGGCAACATGTAGGCAGAAATGATACTAGAGAAGAAGCTGGGAGTCCTACATCTTGCAGGCAACAGAAAGTCGACTGAGACACTGAGTGGTATCCTGAGCATAGGGATCCTCAAAGCACCCCCAGCAGTGACACACTTCCTCCATCAAGTCCATACCCACTCCAACAAAGCCACACCACCTAATAGTGCTACTCCTTATGAGATTATGGGGGCCAATTACATTCAAACTACCATAGCCAGTGAGGGGTTAGGGGTTGGCTCAGCAGCAGAGTGCCTGGCTAGAAACCATCAGGAAAGGTCTGGCAACATGGCTCAATAATAGAGTGCTTGGTCAGAATTCATCATTGAGGAGTTAAGGCCATAGCTCAGGGGCAGAGCACTTGACTAGAATCCGACAATGAGGGACTCGGGGGCAGTGGTCAAGTGATTGGCCAGAATCCACCATCAGGAAGCTAAGGATGTGACTCAATAGTAGAGCACTTGCCTGATATACAGAAGGTGCATAGTGTTCCTAATACTCAAAAGGAACATTGTGAGGGTTTTTGTTACCACCTTCTACTTTCTAGAATCAAGTGAAACAGGCCTCTCTAGGTAAAACTGAGGGGGAAATGCTGGATTTGAAGTCTATCCAACCTAATTCTGAACCACACTTTGGTTCCCCGTAGCCATGTAACCTTTGAATGAATTGCTTATGCTCTTTAGCCTCGGGGTACTTATCCTTAAAATGGGCACTATTTGTGTCTTGCAAGCTAAACATATATGCAAGGTAGGAGTCTGTTAAGTCTTTATTATCCCATTTACTCCCCCCTCCCACTAAAAAAAAAAAAAACAGTGAACTTTAAAGCATTGGTGATTTCATGGGCTCAGGATAGGGTACCAGGAGCTGGGGATGATTTAGCTGGGCCCTTTGATCCCCACAAGGCTAAAGTCAAGATGTCAGCAGGATATGATCTCATTTCAGGGCTTGTTGGAGAAGATTCTACTTTTAAGTTCTTTAGGGGTTGTTGGCAAGATTTAACTCCTCAGAGGAGCTGAGGGTCTCAGCTCCTTACTGACTACTGGATGGAGCGTGTCTTAGGACTCTCTCATGGAGGGACTCTATAGGGTAGCCCCAGGCAATGTAGCATTCCTCACTACAGTCATTGCAGCACAGACGTGGTCTTCTGTAACTTAATCATGAAAGGAGGAGCCCATCCCATCTGCTGTGCTCTGCAGGGTCCCTAGCTCCGGCCTATACTCAACAGGAGAGAATCACACAAGGACATGACTCCCATGATGGGCAGAGAGCTATACCAACAATTATCTGTCACCATATAGAGCTTTTCAATAAGCATGGTGGGCCTGCCTCATCTGCAGATTCTACATCAGCAGTTTCAGCAAACCTTGAAGAGGAAATACTTGAGGTGGCGGGGGAGGGATATGTGGGGGAGGGGTGAGTTTGCACGAACATGCATGCTTTGATTCCATGTCATGATTCTCTGTATAGTAGAACAGCACGGTGTCATGTTGTATTTGGTGTTACAAGTGTTCTAGAGAGAACTTAAAGTCTATGGGGAAATGTATGTAGGGTCTATGCAGATACGTACCACACTGCTTTATATAAGAGCACCCATACATGTTGGATTCCATGAAGAGCTTTGGAATCGATCTGCCACAGATACCAAAGGGAAAAGGTGCTACCTGTTGTTATAACCAAGTGTGAAAATACTTCAGAAGTCCCTACATAAATGGAAGGAGTCAACTGGTTTGTTTATTGGGGTCGAAAAAATTAACAATCACAGGACACTATCAGTCTACAAAACAGAGATTCTTTCTCACCACGAAGTGACCAAAAACACTGCATTTGGCCGGGCGGTGGTGGCGCACGCCTTTAATCCCAGCACTCGGGAGGCAGAGGCAGGCGGATCTCTGTGAGTTCGAGGCCAGCCTGGGCTACCAAGTGAATTCCAGGAAAGGCGCAAAGCTACACAGAGAAACCCTGTCTTGAAAAACAAAAACCAAACCAAAACAAAACAAACAAACAAAAAAAAACACTGCATTTGAAAGATGCATAAAATTTATATTAAACGTTGACTTTGACAGCACGTTACCACATAACATTATTTGGATAATAGAGTTAAAAAGTCCACCTCTCCTCCACTTAACTTTCCAAGTACACCTGCAAGCCTTCCTAGTTATTTTAGAATATCTACATTTTTATAGAGATGTAAATAAAAGTATGCCTGTTGGTTTTCTCATTTAGCAGGATTACAAAAGCATTCGATCCTGCTGTGTCTCCTTTATAATTAGTGGAATATGTCTTTCTTTTCCTTAAAAGCTATGCAGCATTTCCATTCGGTAGATGAATGTAGAAACCATTGTTTATTTACCCATCCCTTTACTGGGACGTATACGCTGTCTCAGGGTTTTGCCACTAAAAGCAATACACTCATTATCTTTTATGTTTTTCTCCCGTAAATTGAATTGTGTCTCTGAAGTCCCAGAAAAGCAATTTGAACACAAACATTTTAATGGTTCTGTGAGTTTGGATCCAAATGAATGGAAGCCTTTGAGTTTCCAATAAGCAAACATTTCTCCAAGAGCCACAGGCTGAGTTCCTCACATGCAGTTAACGATGTCTGACTTTTCAATTTTTTTTTTACGTCATAGCATCTAGCCTTGAAGCAACATTTACTCAATTTTTTTGTGGGCTGAAGGAACAAAAATATTTTAAATTGTGAGACTTTAAGAAAAATGTTTATACTCAATCTATTATAAATTTTTACATACGTGGCTCAGTGTCTTCTCCATTAATCCCCACAGCGCCCCCTGCAGTTCACTTCCTACACAGCAGCAGAAGGAAAGGCTCCGAACAAACAGGAATGTGTATTACAGCCCTCCTTTCAGAGAGGGTCCCCTACATTCATGAGTCTGACAAGCACCCAGATATGGGAAAGGAGACCATCGATCCTCTTTTCTCGAGAGAATGCTCTTTTGAAGAGAGTTCCTGCTGGGTGAAAGCAGTTTCATCCCAGCAACTAGAAATCATGGGAATTTCGCAAATGCGGTTCAGCCCTGGTAACTGGTTTATTTAGCCAAATTATGAGCCAGGGATATGTAAAACTTAAGTACGCGGGCTTACAGGAGAGAGTCACAGTGTATAATTGACGCAAGGCGAATGAAAATATTTGCGCCCCCCAGAAGTTGCTGTCTGAACCACTATTTGAGCTGCAGCGCCCTCTGGTGGAAGGCCGGCGGATTGACTTTTCCAAGCCCGTTTTCCAGGAGCGGCATCTCACTGATGAATGCTTCTGTCTTCCTTGTGTCTCAGGTAAAGGAGGCCATGCAGCGCATCCACGACCGAGGGAACATCGGGAAGCTGATTCTAGATGTGGAAAAGACTCCAACTCCGCTGGTGAGTGGAATGCAGAGAAAACTGCCAGGCTCAACACCAAAGGCAAATTGCTGTATTATCACGTGTAGCACAGCTGATGAAGAAGGAAATACAGGCAGTGTTTACAGGCTTTCAAAAACTAGAGGTGATCAGATGACTCCAGAATGAGGGATCAGCCACGGGCTGAGATGAAAATGGAGAAAGACAGGAAAATTGCTGAGTGAGGACGGACAGGAATGGACAGAAAAGGACTGTTTTACGGTTATATCCCTAAGGCTGCTGCCAATGGGAAGACTTCCTAGTTAATTCTAAACAACGCACTGCTTGTGCCCAACAGAACGGTGCCAGCTGCCTCTAGGATGCTCCTGGTGCTCCTGTTCCATTTACTTCCATTTATTAAGATAAAACCCTAATATCCAGGCAATCCACAAGAATACAACAGGTCAGATTCACCTGTTGCCAAACTGGCTGCTTTGGGGGAGGGGTGGCCTATGATGTAGCCCTCAATGCACAGACTCTCCCGACTGCATGCATTCAAAGCCTGGTGCTCAGTCCATTTGCAACCTGGGAAAGTTGTTTTGCACTCCAGCTTTGGTCCTGTTGATGAGCTAGAGACTGACAGGTTCTCTGAGATCAGCTAGAAAGGCATTCACTGAGCATGACTAGCCATGGTAGTCATGAGTTCTGGGTAAGCTAAAAAAAAAAGAGAGAGAGAGAGAAAACATGGAGGTTTGTTGTTGTTTTAAGTTTCTTTACTAACACACTAGTCTTGTGTCAGTCTCTGTCTTTTTCAAGAAAAAGAATTAAAATGATCCATAGCTGTCAGTCCAAGTGTGTATTTTCAGAAATAGCTCCTGGTCTGCTGTAGCCATACCATGGCTCAAGGGTAATGGCCATTTCACTCCGTACAGAACAGTCAAAGGAAGGGGCACTTTGTGACACAAGCTGCTGATGACAATATGGATAGAGTTTTTAAATACTCACGAAGTTCACGGGACTGTTGAAGGAGAAATGATAGCATGAAGTTAGGGAGAGGGGCTAGGGTCCCAGGACTTTCATGCAAATACCCTGCGGCGCATTTGAATAGGTCTCTTTCAGCCCCATGCATAGAAGGCTCTAGAGCTGACCTGGCCAACTATTACATTTAAGCAAAATAGCTGGCACTGGCTTCCTGTGCAGAGGGACTGCCTATCTCCATGAACACATGAGATTCTGATGGCCCTTGGGCTGGGATTACAGTTGCTTGACCAAGGCGCAGAGCCTATCAAAGGCCAGATAATGTCCCCATTCAAGCCATGAGTTCAGGTCTGCCTCTGTTGAATTGTTGCGCTTGTTTTCTGGAAATATTTTTACCCTGATACCCAAAGGGACAAAGAGACAGTAGAGAATGAGTATTTGGAGCATTGGTGGTAGGGGAGATGCCACAGCCCTTCTAGATGAAAGAAGACAGCATGAAGTCAAACTGAATCTAGGGCATTGTGAGATTCAGGATGGATCCAATGAGATCGCCTCAAGGGCTTACAGGTGACCTTAACGGAAGCTGCAGGGCCTTGGTGGGTATTAGTAAAGGATATAGAAGGGTTCCTCAGAGGCACTTTCCCCTGTCGGAATGAACACTGTGAAAGAGGTCCATCCCACAATGCTCTGTCTGATGCTCAGGGATGACGAGGGAGTAGGTACATAACCTCCATCACGACCTCTGTTGAATTGCAGATGGCCAACGACAGCACAGAGACCAGCGAGGCAGGGGAGGAGGAAGAGGACCACGAAGGCGACAGCGAGAACAAGGAAAGGATGCCCTTCATCCAGTAAGACCTCATCTCTGTGAAAGTAGAAGACGGCCGGCAAGAGAACGGCCGCCATCCGAACTCCTCTGTGCCCCCGTGAACCAATGCTGTAGTCCAGTGCGTGTCGTGTTCGTCTGCAGTCAGCCGAGCTAAGAAGCTGTTGATCACTGTTGTGTTTGGAATTAAGTGCCAATCCCATTCCACGCAGTATTGTGTCCCTTCCTGGTCTGTGTATCCCACTCTCCCCTCTCCCTCGTATCAAACCCCTCCTTCTTCGGGTCCTTCTTGACAGATTTAGAATAGCCTTGCAAATTAATACAAGACCGTGGAGCCCAATGTCTGAAACCAGGCATGGACAAGGCTACGTCTGATTGAAAGGTGTTGTCACAGAGCCCTGTCCAGATCCCATCATTCTTCAGGCCAATGACACTCTTTGCCCGCCAGCCATCAGCGATGCCTCTAACTATGGCACTTTGTCAGTTTGGCTAGTGGCAAGAGAGTAGGCCAGGAGGAGAATTCGAGATCTTACACATGCAGACTTCTCCAAGCTGTGCTTTGTCACTCCCCCTCTAAGAGGCCATGCCCCTGCCTTTGTCTCTGCACCTTAAGGTTTGAGCCTCTCTTTAACTCTTGTCCCTGGTTCTCATTTATAAACCATAAACCAGGGAAGCAGGTATAGGTTCTTTCTAGGATAGAGATGGGTCAACAGCATCTATCTGAAGACCAGCTACAGAGACCCCTCCTCTGAAACCATGTCTCCTGAGCAAAGTCCTCCCTGTGGCCACACACAGTTTATTTAATCCTAAAAACACTCACCATGTGTAGGCCTAACTCAGATGTCATTACACTCACCTAGGTTCTCACCCTCACACTCGGCCTTCAGAATTACCATGATTATTTCCAAGTTCCTGCCCAAGAAATGCCTTTCCCAAGGAAGAGCTCCCTTGAAGACCAACCACATTTGGGGCTGAAAAATCAATTGGTTAATTTTGCCTTCCCAAAGCATGTTCTACTGTGCAATAAGCACTAAGGATAAAATTGGTGGCTACCCAGCATCTGATGCCAAGTGTGTGGTCCCCCTCTCCAACACACAAAACCATGGTGCTGATTTGCAGGCTCCCTCAAAATCAGGGGCCAAACTGCTTAATCACATACCCTGGTCAATTTTCCAGCTTTTTGATGGGCCTTGAAGGGACAACAGTTACCTTAAAGGAAAAGGAGTCTCTCTTCCTTCTCAGTGGGGCTCCTTAGTGCCTCCTTCCAGTCCTTCTGTCCTAAAGGTTCATATGTCACTTACAAACCAAGCTAGATATAAAAGGCATCCATGCAGTCAGCACCCTGAATTTATTTTGCCTTCTGGAAGACCTAATGGGCTCCCCTATGACCTTGAGTTGGTGTTCCAAGTTTTCTTACATTCTTGAAGACTTTAAGAGGGTTCCTGTGTTGCCCACCTTCTCCACTAATAAGCTTTAGGGTGGATCCCACTCTTTCCCCCATGGGCTGGGTACAAACACATTTCAGCAGTCCCCTGCTTGGTTTTCAAAGTCTCTGTAACCAGTCTCATGTCATTCATCATGTTCCTTATCTCGATCCTGAACCTGTGATGATGACTTCTTCATGCCAAATATTTACCTGAATGGAGTCTTTCCTCATTGTGACTGTGTGAGTCAAATATGGAGATGAGAAAAGGTACCACCAGCCAATAAGCCAGGGGATGGGAATATCTAAAAGAGCATGCCAACCACAGACTTTTATTTCCTAGCTCCGGGGAGTGACTAGCACTCCAGTGTTTGGCTATCCAGAGAGATGATGCCCCTTGCTAAATACTGTATAGTCAGTTACGTTTCCACCATAACCATGTTCAAGGGTGGGTAGACCTGAGGACCACTCTCAAAGTGCTATTGCTAGTGTGTAGAAATAGCCTTCTGGTCACTGGCCATAGGAAGGTTCTCTTCTGGGGAACACGGAACCTGACTCACATTCAGAATGCAAATGGTCTTGTCATGTACAGCAGAGAAGCATAGAAAGGCACCTCTCCCCAACCACTGATTACACGTGAAAGCCCGCCTCTACTGAGAACACAGAATGCGAAAACTTGAGTGTGACCAGCATCACCTTGAGGAACAGGAGGGTGGGTGAGGGACAACTGGAATCAGTCAGTCATCCTGTGGACTCTTGTGTTAAGCACCTTCTTTCCCCTCTCGTGGTTGTTTCCTGGAGGAAGTGTAAAGAGTGTCTTTGTTTGCCTTAAGGGAGCTACAAAGGCTTCTCAGAAGGTTGAGCTTTATTGGAATGAACCGAACATTGTCTAATGTGTCTGTGGCTTCAGAGCTTTCGTTATATTGTTATATTGTGCCTACAAAGCAAATTATGTTTACATAAAAATATAAATAAAGTATTCAGCATAGCATAACCTCTTGTGGCATCCTTTACTCCATGTAAGTATTTGGGTGAGCGGCCTCACTGTGAGAACATGGGGAGCAGGTAACTGGGAGTGGGGGGAGGACACCTAAGATAGGAAGTACAAACTGAAGATCTGATAGAGAAAGAAGCTGAAATGACATGAGCATTTTTAAATGACTTTGAGGCCAGCCTGAACTATAAAAGATCCCCATCTCAAAAGAACAAACAGAACCTAAAAGCCAACAAACTAACAAAAAACTCCTACTCCGAGTACCTTGGTATAATGATGCAAGCCTGTATGCAGAGAGAATGGAAAATGATGATTTTGAGACTAGCCTGGGCTACATAGTGAGCCCCGGTCTCAAAAATAATTTTAATTGCATGCAGATGATACCAAAGGTGATATCAAACATGATAGAAAGTAACAATGAGGATAATGGCAAGCATTTATGAGACACCTACTGAATGCACCTGAAAGACCAAGGAATGCATATGCTAAGTCACTGACTCTCCCACCAGTGCCAGGTCAGGTCTGGTATTGAACCCACGCATGGGCAGAAAGACCAAAGCACATGAAGTGTCAGTACCATCTGAGGTCACATGACTGGTAAATGACAGAGTCAGCACTCACCAAGATCCGGCCAGGCTTTCACTCTGGGAACCTATGCTCTTAACCACCGAGGACACTGTCTCACACTTTAAACATTGGTACTGTCAGAACTCAACACGGTCTGCAACTTCAAAGCAGATGCCAAAGCCTGAGTCAGGCCACACCTCCCTGCAGATTTTCTCTGGAACAGAAAATATAGAAGCAGCCTGTGTTGTGACTTGACAGCTCTCAGTTAATGGTACCTAGCTCCTTCATGCTCTTTATCACGCAGGCCAGGCGATGCTCAACTAAGCCACATGACGTGAAATTTCCCATTAGCTCTAAAAGATTACAAAAAGTCAAATCTTTCCTTTGTTCTGGGGATTGGCCCAAGACTCCTTGGAGGGATTTGGTCCTGAAGGCTTATCTCAGAAGAACCTCCTCTGTACCCTCTACCCACCCATCCCTCCCATAACAGCTCACTTCTCTCTCTCTCTCTCTCTCTCTCTCTCTCTCTCTCTCTCTCTCTCTCTCTTCCTCCTCTCTCTCTCTTCCTCCTCT